TTGTGCCACACGATCTAACTAGTGGCACTTGTCAGCGTATCCACTGTTAGCGTAACACACCCGCTTTAAGGACACTGACTGCTATTCAATCTATAACAGTAAAAAAAGTTTTTTGTTTTTAAATCCAAGCTATTGTGACACAGGATCAATTAGTGGCACTTGTCAGCGTATCCACTGTTAGCGTAACACACCCGCTTTAAGGACACTGACTGCTATTCAATCTATAACAGTAAAAAAAGATTATTTTTTTTTTAAACCCAAACTATTGTGACACCAGATCTAATTAGTGGCACTTGTCAGCGTATCCACTGTTAGCGTAAAACACCCGCTTTAAGGACACTGACTGCTATTCAATCTATAACAGTGAAAAGTTTTTTGTTTTTAAATCCAAGCCATTGTGACAATTCAGATGCAATTATGGCACTGACTGGGGAAATGGGCACAGTATGCACTGCGGAGCCTGACACATAGAAGCTGGCAGCAGTGGCAGACAACTGACTGCTATTCAATCTATAACAGTGAAAAAAGTTTTTTGTTTTTAAATCCAAGCTATTGTGACACCAGTATGTGGTGGCACTGACTGGGGGAATAAGGCACAGTATGCACTGTGAGCCTGACACAGAAGCTGGCAGCAGTGGCAGACAACTGACTGCTATTCAATCTATAACAGTGAAAAAAGTTTTTTGTTTTTAAATCCAAGCTATTGTGACACCAGATGTAATTGGTGGCACTGACTGGGGAAATGGGCACTGTGAGCACTGTGAGCCTGACACAGAAGCTGGCAGCAGTGGCAGACAACTAAGTGCATTTACATTAGATAGAAAAAAAAATCCAAAAAAAGCATACCCTTATCCCTAACCTAGCTATGCTTTTCCCTATCTTATGAACAGCAGCTACACTTTCCCTCCTCTTACTAAGCATGCAGCTTGAGAATGAATCTAAAATGGATGCTGTCCAGTAGGTGGGAGGGTCTGCTAGGAGGCTGTGCTGCTAATTGGCTGGAATGTGTCTGCTGACTGTGAGGTACAGGGTCAAAGTTTACTCAATGATGACGAATAGGGGGCGGGTCGAACCGCGCATATGTTCGCACGCCGTGGCGAACGCGAACATGCTATGTTCGCCAGGAACCGTTCGCCGGCGAACCGTTCGGTACATCACTACTTATCACTGAGGTAGTAAATGTCTTGGCTGCGCTGGGTAGTATTCGCTTTAATAAGTGTTATGTTGGCTTCCGCCTGGGTGGTGCGGTTGTTCAGGGTCTCAGGGTCGCCTTTAAGGCCTGATATGTGCGGCTCCAATTCTGTGGCCGTGTGCGCCTTTATGTCTGCCGAAGCAGCCAGTAGCATCTGGTGGAGGTCAGTTTTAGTAAGTGGTTCTTGTTTTTTTGGGTAGTTGGTTGTTTCTTTGTCTGGGGCCTCACTGTCGTCGGTGTCTGCTCCAGATTCATGAGCCTCCTGGCTTAAAGATGGCCGCCCCTGTTCCCTGGTGGCGCGGAACATGGATGCCACTGTTAAGGGGGTTTCCTTTTTTTTTGTTTCCCCCCATCGTTATGTTGGGTAGGAGGCTTTGTGGGTGCTTTGTAGCCCGTTCGTGTGGCTGGATGCTTGTTAGAAGGTGCTGATGTTGGCGGATTAGGGCTTGTGGACGGGAGAGCTCAGGCTTCACACGTCCTGCTCCATTGGCGATCAGGCTCCGCCCCCATCTTGAACCCTTTTTGAATATAGGAACCATATCTGCCTTCCTCCAATCCTCCAGAACACTTCCTGAAAGAAAAGAATATTGAAAGATTAAAAACAGAGCTTCACTTATTTCTACACTTAGTTCCTTACTAAGTGTAGAAATAAGTGAAGCCCTGTCAGGCCCTGGCGCTTTGTTTATATTAACTTTCTTTAGTTACAATTTTTCTGCAAGTTTTTAGCAGCAATCATTTGCACATCTATTGCCATGGGTTCTTCCTCAATATCTACGGAGGAGAAATAGTTAATTAAAATTTCTGCCTTTTCCTGGTCTTCATTAACTAACACCCCCATTTCAGTTTTTAGTGTACCTACACTTTCAATTTTAGTTTTTTTTTTAGAATTTATGCACTTAAAGAATGCTTTGGGGTTGGTTTTGCTCTTTTTGGCTATCATTTTTTCATTTTGAAGTTTAGCAAATCTCATCGCCTTTTTGCACACATTATTGGCTTCCTTATATCTTTTACAAGATGCGTCTGATTTGCCTGATTTAAATGCTTTAAATGCCCTTTTCTTTTTTAATCTCTTTTTAAAATTTTTAATCTCTTACTTCTCTACTAAGCCACATTGGTTTCAATTTGTTTCTTTTATATTTATTACCCAATGGTACATACTGAGAATTGTACCTTTCTAATATTTGTTGGAAGATGTTCCATTTATCCTGTGTTCTTTTCACTAAAGAGTTTATGCCAGTGAATATATTGTAAAACTACCCTTAACTTATAGAAATCTTCCTTTTTAAAATTAGATGTTTTAGTATATCACATGTGCTTTTGTCTTTTTGAGTTTGTTTCAAAGTACACTATATTGTGATCACTATTTACCAAGTGCTCACCTACTTGAATGCTGGCCAAAAGATCAACATTGTTTGTTAGAACCAGGTCCAGACAAGCGTCCTTTATAGTTGGTGCTTGCACAAGTTGTGACATGAAGGTGTCATTTAACGATTTCAAAAACCCTTTGCTGAGCTACTAGTCCCTCTGTCCCAATTTATGTCCGGGTAATTAAAATCTCCAATAATTAAAGTGTTACCCCGATTTGCAGATTTTTCAATTTGCTCAAACAGCTGTTGTTTCTCATCAATATTAATATTAAGTGGTTTATAACATATCCCAACCAATAGTTGATTTCCCTTCTTTTGCCTCATAAAGCTTCCACATTTTCCTCACCGCATTCCACTTGCTTAAGATTTGGCTTTAACTCATGATTGACATACAAACATACCCCACTATCTTTCCTGTTTTTTCTGTCATTCCTAAATAGTGTGTACCCATTTAAGTTAACTGCCCAGTCATGTGCCTCATTCCACCATGTTTCAGTTATGCCTATTATGTCATATTGTTTAGTGTATGCTATTGCCTCTAGTTCCCCCATTTTGTTATTAATGCTCATTGCATTAGTAATCATACATTTAATATCATGAGTCACTTGTACTTTTTGTGCATTATCAACATTACATACCTTCTCTGTTCTGAGCTTGCCCATCCTCCAGTCTCTACCCCCCATATACAGAGCTAAAGCACATCCCCTTTCTGTCCTATCTCTATTTTGTAGATTGCCATGACCCTCCCCCCTACTACTAGTTTAACATCTCCTCCAACATTGCAACATTTTAAAATCACAGTTATGGATTTTACTAAAATGAGCGCATATTGAATGTGTCATAACTTTTCTTTGGATGTTTTGCAAATGTTCACTCATTCTTACTTTTAGCAGTCTGGTGGTCCTTCCAACATTTACAGATTAAAAGTAGAGTTGAGCGGACACCTGGATGTTCGGGTCCAGCAGAACTTTGAAAAAAAGTCCGGGTTCGGGCTCGAACTTGACCCCGAACCCGAATCCCATTGAAGTCAATGGGGACCCGAACTTTTGGGCACAAAAATGGCTCTAAAAACCTCATGGAAAGGGCTAGAGGGCTGCAAAAGGAAGTAAATTGGGGGTAAGAGCAGGAATAGTGCCTTGAAAACAAATGTGGATAGGGAAATCACTTAAAAATAACACAAAATAAGCAGCCGCTTAGTATATAACTCCCTAATTCCCACGGTATTAGGGAGCTATCTACCAAAAGGCTGAAAGACCTAAATTGGTCACCTAAATTGGTCTTTCAGCCACATTGGTGGGGGGCCATAAATAAGAATGTGGAGGGGGAGACCTACTGTCCCCCCTAAGCCCCCACCCCTGCGCGGTGGGTGGGGGCCATAAATAAGAATTTGGGGGTGGACCTACTGTCCTCCCCCCAGCCCCCACCCCTGAGTGGTGGGTGATGGCCATAAAGAAAAATTAGGTTGGGGACCTAATGTCCTTCCATCCGGCCCCCACCCTTGCGCGGCGGCCCTAAATAACAATAAGGGGGGGACCTATTGATCTCCCCTCTGGCCCTCACCCCTGAGCGGTGGGTGGGGGCCATAAATACAAATTGGGGGGACCTAATGTCCTCCCCCCGTCCCCCACCCCTGCGCGGTGGGTGGGGGCCATAAATAACAATAAGGGGCCAGGGGGAGGTCAATAGTTCCCCCCTACTGTCCTAACCCCCCGGCCCCCACCCCTGAGCAGTGGGTGGGGGCCATAAATAAAAATTGGGGGGGACCTAATGTCCTCCCCTCCGGCTCCCACCCCTGAGCGGTGGGTGGGGGCCCTAAATAACAGTAAGGGGGGTGTATCGGATCACCTGGCAACCCTACTGGGTACCTCCGTTGAAGGATGCTTCTAGCGCTTCCTGAGGGCTCCAAGCTGTCCAGCCGACACCATAACCACTGTAGACTCCTCCAGAGAGCAAGACAGGAACAAGCTCTTACAAGAGCTTAGTAGTGATAGAGCAAGGGAGTATGACTAGCATAGCAATCCCTGGTAGCAGATTCCCCCAGTAACGAGACGACACTTCGTTTGAGGGTCAAGCAGAACTGACTGTGCTGGCACATACAGCCTCTTTTATTCACAATCCACAAACACAGTACTGCCCACAGGGTTTTGAAATACAACCAATCAATCCGTACAATACACACAGACACTCCCACACAAAATCCTCCCCTCTGCCTGTGATATGATTACTGAACACAATGGTTAATATAATTATCACAGGCAGAGAAATACAGTTTTTACAAAATATTAATAACTTCAAAAATATAATCGCCACAAACATAAATTACATATTCGAACTCAGCACACTTTAATTATAAACATATCCAAAATTCAGCCAATTCCATCCAGGGGTTAAAAAGTTAGCTGGAGGTCCCTTTTTGACCGACCACAAGCACATTTTCATGCCCAAAACAGTTCCATAGATTCGGGCTGTGCGGTTGGTCTATTTCAGGCTGAAAAAACATCCCATCGCCGAATGTGTAATTTGACTCATAACACTCTGATTGGTTACTTAATCCAATCAGAGTGCTCTGTGTCATTTTACACAGCGTGGGAAAATTCCAAAGAACTTTCCCACGCTGTGTAAAATGACACAGAGCACTCTGATTGGTGGATTAAGTAACCAATCAGAGTGCTCTGTGTCATTTTACACAGCGTGGGAAAATTCCAAAGAACTTTTCCACGCTGTGTAAAATGACACAGAGCACTCTGATTGGTGGATTTCAAGCCAACCAATCAGAGTGCTGTGACAGGTAAATGTAGAGACTTACCTGTCAGTCTCCTCACTTACCTGTCAGAGCACTCTGATTGGATGGCTTAAACTCACCAATCAGAGTGCTCTGAGCCTAATTGCAGGGCGTGGCAAGGCTTTATAAGCCTTCCCCCGCGCTGCAGAGCTCAGTCTGCGCGGAGTCCTCCATGGGTGAAGAAGGATTTTATTTTTGCGCTCGTTTTTTTTTTGTTTTTTTTTAAGTGCGTCGGTTATTCTGGATTTTTATTTGGCCTTTTTGGGGGCTGAAAAAAGAAGATTTTAGAAGACAGAAAACATCAAATAGTAAGTCTATTTTTTTTTTTTTACAGGTATTTAGACATGGGTCCCCCCTCATTATTTTTGGGATTAGGGGGGTAGGTAGGGGTAATTTGTTTGATGGGGAGGGGGATTACTAAGGGTTTGGGGAACCCTAGTCACCTGGGGGAGAATGATTATTTATGGCCCCCACCCATCGCTCATGGGTGGGGGCCGGGGGAGAACATTAGGTCCCCCCAATTTTTGTTTATTGCCCCCACCCACTGCTCAGGGGTGGGGGCCAGGGGGTTAGGACGGTAGGTCCCCCCCTTATTGTTATTTATGGCCCCCACCCACCGCGCAGGGGTGGGGCTGGGGGCCGGGGGAGGACATTAGGTCCCCCTCCAATTTTAATTTATGGCCCCCACCCAACGCTCAGGGGTGAGGGTCGGGTGGAGGACCGTAGGTCCCCCCCTTATTGTTATGTAGGGCCCCCACCCGCCACGCAGGGGTTGTGGCCAGGGGGGAGGACACTAGGTCCCCCCAATTTTTATTTATGGCCCCCACCCACCGCTCAGGCATGGGGGTCAGGGGGAGGTCAATAGTTCCCCCCTATTGTTATTTAAGGCCCCCACCCACCGCTCAGGGGTGGGGGCCGGGGGGAGGACCATAGGCCCTTATTGTCATGTAGGGCCCCCACCCACCACGCAGGGGTGAGGGCCGGGGTGGAGGACATTAGGTCCCCCCAATTTTTATTTATGGCCCCCACCCACTGCTCAGGGGTGGGGCCCGGAAGGGAGGACATTAGGTCCCCCCCTTATTGTTATTTAGGGCCCGCACCCACCGCACAGGGGTGGGAGCTGGGGGGAGGACA